TATAAAATATGCTAACATTCAAACCACCTATATTTAAAAGACTTAAAAGATTACATTTAAAAAGAGTAGTAGATATATCTTATATTGCACAAATTTACTATTGACAAAACATCATACATAAATTTAAACATTTAATTAAATCATCATTGTTGATTACTTATAATAATACTATTATAATATCATGATTATTACTGAACTTAATTTTGTTTAAATTTTAATGTTTGTTTATTTTTATTAGACAGGAATATTGGACAGGTATATTCTACAATACAGTGACAGGAATATTTCTACAATACAGTAATAGATTAATTAATGCTTACAATTTAGGCCTACTTGGCATAAATAGTCACTGACTATGCTACAGTATTCATTTCTACTCATATTTTTGCTAAGAATGACATTATCATACCTTCTCGTACTTTCAGTTCCTTTTCATAATGTTCCTGAAGTTCTTCTACTTTTGTCAAATGAAATTGCAGCTTTCTAGAAAGGAAAATAAAAATATAAAACATGATTACTGATAAGTGCTTAAAATATTGCAATATGGTCTGTTAATGAATAGTAATGGTCTAACACCGCACACTAACTAACCCAGCCAATTGACCGCATCAAAGATTTTGGCAGTTTGGCAACCAGCAATACAGTGAGTCAAAAAAAGGTACCCATGGCTGTTGACGTCATTTCGTTTGTACCTCACAACCGTACCTTCACCTGTCTTCAAGACCCTCCAAGAGTCTTGCATTTTAATTAGATGTACTGCTTTTGAATGCAACATCTAGCTTTGTACATGTTTTGGTGTCCATCTGATGTCAAAGTTTATCTTTAATAGTTTGTTGTATGAGGTCAGTGACATCTTTTCCTGTTTAATTTATATCCTGTTCATGTTTACTGCCTAGACACTGCGTAATATCTTTCTGTTTTGGTTTCGTTTTTGAATAGTTTGTTTCATTTGTTCTGGAAAGGTGTTTTTAATAGATATAATGCGAATCAATATTTAGTTATGTCTCAGTGAGGTATTACGTATATGTTGTTAATCAGTGGCGAATCCAGAATTCGAAACAGAGGGGCCCAGTGAAAGACTGACACCACCTCAGCCTCACCACCATTAATTATATATTAACCACGTTCCATTGGTCAATTTTACTCGGTAAGAGAGAGTTGGCATAAACCTATGAAAATTGATAAATGTTGATGTTATTTTTCTTAAAGCAGGCCCTACACAGTAGAACCCCTATTAAGTTGACACCTCAGGACCAAAAAGTGTCCCCTTAAAGCTTGGTTTCCATAAAAATTGTACACGCTATCGCCGACTCCTTTGGCGACACTGATTGGTCAGTTGAATCAAGAAGCATTCCCGATTGCGTCAGTGACAGCTACGCAGTGCAAGGAGTGCACTGAAAACACTGTAGCGACTGTAACGATTCTATGGAAACCTGGCTTACTAGAGGTGTCTCCTTAATGGGGGTGTCCTAAAGGAGGCGTTCTACTGTACTTGTATAATGTGTATTTTTGACTGGCTGTTAAAAATGTAAAAATCCTAAAGCATAGGTAGAATTTATTGTGAGCACTGACAAACCGTAACCACATCTTTCTATAATGTTAGGCTCTAAAGCAAACCAGAGCACCAGGGTACAATGGGCTCGACTCGACTTCTTGTGAATCCTGTGATTATCATAACGTATTGCATAAGCATCATAAAACCACCACCTTGATTAGTACTAGATCTATTACATAGTAATGGTTCAAATCTTTAGAATAATATTAGCAGACAACAAGTTAACAACATCAATTTTACAACAAAGGAGAAATAAAAAGTCAACTTACCGTATATATCTTTCCCTGCTTTTTATTTGCTGCAAAGAAAAGAAAATTATATTTTATAATCCAACAAAATATTATGTTTAAGACAATAGTTTTCTAGAAAAAAGTAAAATTACTAAAAAAATAAAAAATAATAATTGGAAACCCCCTGATAAATTCTTGAATTGCTATTGTTATTGTAGTACCGTACCTGCAGTCTTTGTAGTTTTTTAGTTTTTGACTAAATGCAGGAAATATCACCCCAAAGTGGAAGTCATCCCAGATTATTTTTATTGACACAAACTATAGCTGAATCCCATTGTGGGATAGTCAAATCTTATTTTAGACGTGTTCGATGTCGGGAAGAGCTGGCTCTCCCCCTCCATTGGGGAGAGCTGGCTCACCCCCAGTCAGGGAGAAAAAGCACAATTCGTTGAGGAGAAAAAAAATTATATGTATTTTCTACATATTATTAGACTCTAAAATTGATCAAATAAGCCTTTGAAACCCCTAAATTGTTAAAATTTTTGGAGGCTTCGCCACCCCCTGGACCACTTTCGAAACCTTTTAATCGAAGCTCGACCACGCCCACTTTGCTTTCGTCGGGGAAATCTTACCCCTCATCGGGGCATCGGCCCCCCCCCCTGTCGGAAAAATCCTGGTGCCACCCTGGTTCCGTTTTTGTGAAAAGGATGTTAATAAATGTTACATTGGAATTAGAACCTACTTCTTTGAATAATATACCAAATTAAAACTGTCATACATTCGAATTCGGTGTGAATGCACCTTAATGGTGGTAGTTACAGCATGGTACTTACTTTCAAGAGTGCAGTGTAAACCAGGTAGTTAGATCGATTTAGATTTTTCTCTCGTAAGGTGCTAAGTGTGTGTCGTGCTAAATTTAAAAAAAAACACATTCAAATCATTTAGAAATAAGTTTTGATAAGAAAGCTGTATCTGTATTAGAAACTGTTATAATATCTTTTATTATTATATCAAAATATATTTATAAAAAACCCATGGAGAACTGGCAACTCAACACTGGCAACAGACAGAAGACATTCATATGTAACAGGTAGAGGACATATACAGGTAACAGAAGACACTACAGGTAACATTTCAGTAAAACGTCTATTTTATGATCGTCAATTTTATGAATAGTTGATTTTACGAATGGTGTTTACCCCTGTCTCTTATACACATCTAGATGTGTATAAGAGACAGCCACACCCCCCCCAGGGAAAAATTCTGGTGCCACCCCTGGTTTGTCTTCACTGATAATATAGGGGAAAAATATGTAGCATTTTTTCAATTTCATATTCATAACATGGAAAAATCTCTGTAGTACTTTGAATATTTGGCAGAACAGTTCAGCTATTGTGTGAACAATTGAAAATAAGGCAAAACGTTTTCCTACCAATATAACCTAGGTTCATGCACTGCTTAAAATATGAACTACCTTTCATATTATTCTTATCTGATATTAATAAATATTAACATACTTATATGGTGTTAAATGTAAAAGATTTCATTCTTAAAAGGAACCCAGGCAACACATTTTACGAAAAAAAAAACGAGTACCTTGCTATTACTATGTTATAAAGAAATCCAATATCATCCAGTGACATATTGTAATAACCCCAGGTCTATATCTTATTGTAAATATCTTATGTAAACATTCATTACAACGAATTATGCAAACAGTACAACACGTAGAGTACACAACATTTCATTGAACGTTGATCAAAAAATGAAATCATGCATTTCCATCAAGATTTTCAACATACAATTGATTTGTTTTCTTAATTTTCTTAAAATATTCTAATAGGAATATAAGGCAACCTACAAAAACATAAAGAGGACAGTCTATTGTTTTACTGCAAAAAATGGTGACTTGGGGTTTTATTATTGCAGTACAGTACAACAAAAATGGATTTTCAATATGGGATATCAGGTTAAAATGATTGCCTAGAGTCATAAGATACAAAGGAATATTTTAAATCTTACCTTATCAAGGTTGTAGTGAAAACCCTGTTTAAAAAAATAAAAAATATTATAGTTTAAAACAATAGTATAAACCACTGAATGTCTTATCAATTCCATATACTGTAATGGCCCTAAAATGTTGTAAGATTTTAACCAAGCCAACCGTATTGCCCCTTTAGTTAGATCTATGGAAATTGTGACGTTATTCACAGATTTTATTTTAAATGGAAATAGTAAAACTTATACAGATACCATCCCCTTCAGACACAAAATTGGGCCGATTTTTGTTGGAGGGGGTGGGCTTATACTCCGGCAATCCCCATTTCAGGCAATTTTCGGCACTGGTGCATGCTTATTTTAAAGTTTATTTTTTTATTTTTTTCTGAGTATTTGTAAAAGTCAGCTTTATAGCTAATATACTTACGCAAACCATATCCTAGGCTTTTGCTGACAAAAAGCTAGTATGTAAAATTGGGTGTAAAGTTTATTGTTGTAAAACATCATAAAATTGTTTTGTCTGTTGATATTTATACTTCCGTTGATGTTATGTTAAGTTCACTTGCATGGAAACGACTACATGTAAGGTGGAAAGAACAGATAGCCTTAATGACTTTTAATTGTTTAAAAGGGTATGCGCCATCTTATTTATCATCTAAATTTAAATTTAATATCGAATCCCATTCAAAATGTACACGTAGTCAATCTCATAATAACCTTTTTGTACCACATTGGAATAACTGTCAAGGCAAGAGAACTTTTTTGCATCGTTCAACAAAGTTGTGGAATGAACTTCCACACGAAACAACAACAAATTTCATGAACATGTCTATTATATTTTTTAAAAACTCTTTTAATTCTTAATCACTTTTATTATGATATCTATTTATATATATGTATGTTTTTTAATTACTTTTCTTTTAACTTTTGTATTTTATGAAACTGTACCACTTTGAAAACAGTACACAAGTACTGAAAGTGCATGCAGTAGAAAGACAGAATAAATAAATAAATAAATAAATAAATAAATAAATCCTACCTGTAATAAATAAATAAATAAATAAATAAATAAATAAATAAATAAATAAATAAATAAATAAATAAATAAATAAATAAATAAATAAATAAATAAATAAATAAATAAATAAATAAATAAATAAATAAATAAATAAATAAATAAATAAATAAATAAATAAATAAATAAATAAATAAATAAATAAATAAATAAATAAATAAATAAATAAATAAATAAATAAATAAATAAATAAATAAATAAATAAATAAATAAATAAATAAATAAATAAATAAATAAATAAATAAATAAATAAATAAATAAATAAATAAATAAATAAATAAATAAATAAATAATAAGAGACAGGTATAAAGAAGTTACTATTTACAGGAAATTTCATCAGCATAGAAAATAAAAAGAAATTCAATTCAAAGTACTGTATATTTCATTGTATATTACTGACTGATCAGTGATAAAGACAAGTATTGTCTTTGTATTCCCGGTATATATTTTGCCTGAATAAATGCAAATACAACTACCGGTAATAATAAAAATAAAAGAAGAATGCTATTATTTCTTTACATCTCTTCAATGTCTTGAAGGCTAGATAGCACAAGGGAAGACCAATGGTGAGTGCCAGTGTTACAACCCTGATATTTCATTTTTTCAAAGTTTTAGTTCACATTTGATCACCCTTGCCCAAGGCTGTAGCCAGCTATTGGGACAGTTGGGACAGTCCCATATGATTTTTCCAATGGGTCCACAAAGAGTGGGTCCAAATTTTTAAAATGGGTCCAGATTATGCAGTATCATGCATAAATGAGTCCACTTTTTTAAAAATGGGTCCAGATTTCTCATATTTAGCCTTAAATAAGTAACATTTTAAGAAAATTGGTCCAGAGTGTTCATATTCTTGCGTGAAATTGGTTAAATTTTAAGAAAATGTGTCCACATTATTTGAATTTACGCGTTAAGTTGGTCCACCCTGATATTCTCCCGCACTGTTTGAAAATCCTGGCTACTGCACTGCCCTTGCCCATGGATTGCTAGTGGTTATTAAGAATGTAGTTTTCATAGAAATAAACCTAATTATGTAGCCCATGCCAATTACGTTCTTCACAAAAGTTTCACTGATAACACAAAGTCAAGCTCCAGTGTTTTCAAGAAACCCTATGTTACAGGTGCCCTTTTAATTGTTTCTTTTCAATAAAAACCACTAGAATATCTAACTGAAATAAACAAAAACTGCTGCTTTTCATTCTTGTTCAAAGACTACAAAATTCACATTCTACACTTGAAATAAAATATAGCAAAAGATGAATAGAGAAAGATGGATGTTTGAACCAACTAGTTTTGTTACAAAGCTTGGTTTGTAATTACAAGACTACTTTTCCAGCTAAATATTGAGTATCTTGTATCAGAATACACACTGGGCGTTGGCTGAAACACAATCTCCACAGCTGGAGATGAACTTGTACCATGAACGGGTTGTTGACAAAATGCTAATGCAATGGGGTTTTTACGCTCTGTAATTTTAAACAGTGATGAATAATTAGTCTGACATCAATGATGATCTAATACGAAGCGTGAATGGGTTTGCGCATGGTTGGTGTGTGATACAATGATGGTCATATTGAGTACAGTATCAAAATTGTATTAATGTTCTACAAAATGCATCCAACTATACACAACGGATTTAATACTTGGTCGATTTCCGGTCAGTCCTAGCTAATATATGTGGCCATATAAAAAATATTGCACTGCACCAAGTATTGGGTTTAAAGAAAATATTTAGCAAACCATAATTTACACAGTGAATTTTATTTGTATTTAAGGTAATTCCTAGTAATTCTGTAAGTTACTACTCTAAAAGTTCATCTCATACGCCACTGCACCATTATGATAAGGTCAACCTATTGATGTGCATTTCCAAGGCGCAAACATCAATACAAGGGTGTGAAATCATACACAAACAGCACATTCACTGGAGCCTATACTCACTAGATAAAATCTATATTGTTAATTTGCTTCCTATTATAAACAAAATGGTTAAATACTACCAGGAATACAAGTGTGTTACTGTAGGCAGCGAACATGCAGAGAAGGAGCCAGTTGTGAGTGAAGTGAGCTCATGGGTAGCCATGGTGCAACCATGGAGGAATTTATTCCTTTATGGTGCCACTAAGGACCTCAACTATAGCAGCCAGAGGCCCTGGCAAATATAAGATGTCTTGATGTTGGAGAGGACTAATTAAAGTGATTGAAACAAGAAAGTTAAACTACTATTATCGCTAGAGCAGAATGAACAATTTAGGAACACAGTGGTAACCCATGGCTTTGGGTAATTTATTCCAGATTTTTAATGACCAATAACACATAGCATTTCTATATTCTGCCATGGAGGTATATTTTTAGCTGGTAATCAACTTTTAAAGAAGTTTTACCAAAATATCAGAAATGGCTTAATTACTTACTTAATTATTTGTGATGCAATATGATTGCCCCAACATGCTAAATGAAGTTTAGCTGTCCATAATTTAAACTATTTCTTTTATATTCTAAATTTGTATTCTTGTCTATTTTATTGTATTTGAACATATTTTAAGGAATTTGCGCAATATAAATTATTAATAAATTCATAATTAATTAATAACTGATCAATTAAAAAATAATATTGAATATAAACTTACAGTATTTGATAAGTCACTGTATGTTTATTCTTTGACAATGTAATTTATCCAATCTTTCTTTCTTGATTGCAATAAAGATTATTTGAATTAAATGCTTGACAAAACCCACAAGTCAGGCACACACGGTGCTACACAACACTTGCAATTTAACAAACCAAATACTACTGGTTATGCTTAAAACAAAAAAAAACATGTTGGTTCCAAACACAGAAGTACCATAACGTAGGCCAAAATAGCAATACATAATTTAGCACATTGTATCAAATTTTGTAATTTCAGGTAAAGTATGTCAAGCTTTGTATGTTGGATATCTACTTTATAATTGGTTTTGAATACATTTTTAGAATACTCAAATTAATTGCCTACTCCTACTACCATATAATTAACCAAAAAAGGTGTGTGACTGAGGCAAAGATATAGAGTAATGCATCACATGAAATATTACTTTAGTCATGATCCCTTGCTTGCAAACTTTCTAATGCATAACATTATTAGAAGCCACAGTACATTGTTAATCTGTTCTTACTACACCTATATAGATTAAATCAAATTTCCTCTCTTGATAGCTGATCAAAACATAAAACTCAATCAATATATTTTGATGGAAGGTAGAGAAAAAAGTTTATCATTACAGTACATTATTTTAAATTTTTGGCATGAAAAAAAATTAATTGGTTCAGAAGTTAAGAAGCTTGGAAATTCATAGTCGTCCGATTTGTCTTGGCAAAAGCAAATCGATTAAATAATTTGTAAAGGAAATTCATGATTACACATTCTTAAGTGTTTGAGTAAATCTGGACTCTGTATAGCTTGTCAAATTCACTTTTATGAAAGTGGTATATGTTTGGTGCTTGAGTATGCGGTACTCATATGGGGATCATGTATTTGAAATGACCAGTCAAATAAATTAGAACGTATCCAAAGACAATTTTTGGGAATTATCTTTTGTATTTAAATAATGTTATTTATTTTTCAGATTGCCAATAAAGTTTATTTGTACTAATCAATGCAGCATTAGCAGTTCAGTGGTTTGGATCATTTGCTTGAGCATGTTTTTGGTGTCCTTTAGTCAAAGAGCATGAAGTAAATAAACATCTTTGTGCAGAATTTACTGTAGGACAACTATGTATGAGAATGTTGAACATTTTGCTGCTATGCTAATTTAAGGATTCAACTTATCAGGGGTCAGGGTAATACCAAGAAAATCTTGCACCACAATACTTTGTTATCAATGACTACTGAAGTAAATTTCATGCACAGAGCTAATTTCCTTTTAATGAAAAATATTTTAATTACCCAAAAAAATGTTTTATAAACAATGATTATTTGAAAATAATTACATCATACCATTATAGTTAAGTAACACATTTTCTCATAATTTCAACAACCAAGATTTCCACATAAAATTGTTTTGAGCATATATGTTAAAATGAAGCATAATTATAAAACTTACTTGAGTCCATTCTTGAGGCTATCTAGAATGACCTGCGTTCTCTGTGGTCTGGGTATTCTAGGCATGATCTTATGAATATTCCGGCCTAGTTGGTGCATTCTCATCGGCTTTTTGCTTTTGAGTCTTCGCTGTACTGGAGGGCTAGCAAAGCCCCTTATATTCTAAAAATATAAAATCATCATTAATGTTAAGAATGAGTGAATTTTCAATAGAAGTGGATATGCAAGCTGTGTAAATTCCATATAATGTTATATGAACAGTTATACTAATAAAATTATAAACAAACACGATGCAAATGGTTATCACAGCATATGCAGTACCGGTAGCTCCAGAAATTGGCTGACACCCCAATCCCCCTCTCCCCAGTGCCACCACTAAGCATATGATGTAAGGTAATTATAGAATGAAACATAAAGTTAAAAAATAAATTTATAAAGTTTTCACACCATTTATTGATGTAAGTCTTTCTTCCTTGACTATTATTTCAAGTTAAGATAGCTAAATTGTTATTTGTTTGGCTATACTTTTCTTTAGTACGGGTACTATTTTAAAGATAAATTTTGGTGTCAGATATTGAGAAGCGTAACCTTTTAAACATTTGAAAATCGTGATAAGTAATGTTTCATCCCAACTAGCATTAAGTCTTAATAACCCTGAAAACAAAATTCTACCTATCCATTCATGTACTTGTAAACAATTAGTATTTTGAATACTACAGTTAGACCAAACACAACACCAATAATAGAGGGATTCAGCAATGGGTGTCACATGACCTAACTTGGGTGTTGGATGTAAACAATTCACTGACACAGCGATGTTTTACATGGCGATTTCTGTTGCGGCCGTTCCTTTTCTTTTGCTGAAAGATCATCATAATTCCTAGTAAACTATACCAAATTGATAAGAAATTAAACTTAAGAATTTTGTTTAATGTTTTGCTAGTGCTGTAAAGGAACTGGCCGCAAACATTGAGATTTTTCGACAAATGTTAGGCCTAGGCCCCTGCACATCTACGGCATGGTTAGGTATGCAAGATGGTCTTCCACACGCGAACTACGCTGCGATGTTAAGCCAGCTAAGGTTTATGAAGGAGTACTTAAATTTCAAAGCATACAATCCAAAGAGAACGCTTGGATAAGTAAATTTACTTCTCACGTTAACAGTAGGTTGTTGTTTTCGCAACCATAACATTATCTTTTCCTATGCTATCGCACTGTTATGTTTTTCATGTATACCCAAGTTAGGTCACGTGATCACCTGTAAACAATCATCGCTAAATCCCTCTATTAAATTAGAGCATGCGCTAACATTTTTAGTTTATGGGATGGAAGATATTATTTAATATGTAAGATAAACACCAATATGTTTTTGAAACATTTGATGACACTTTGTTAATATATGGTATTTCCAATCTAACTGTGGATCAATCAAATGTAGTAACCCTAAGGTATTTAAACTAATCAACTCGCTCAATAGTGTCACCATTGTAGGATATAGAAATTTCTTTAAATTTAGAAAATTAGCTTATATTGTTATTAAACCAAGTTGCAATTATATTTAAATAAGAATCTAATTCAGATTGGAGAGTGAGCAGGTCAGAAGAGTTACAAAGTGTACTGGTGTCATCCGCATACATTACACATTTACAAGCCATTACATCTGGAAGTGAATTAACAAATAATATGGGCCTACTTTCAATTTTTACATTATTTTTCAAACTGGAAAAAATATAAAAAACTGGATTTCTAATTTTTTAATGCTATAATTAATAAATTCCCGACATCATAATAATTTAACATTATTAAATTCAGTATTGTTTTTTTTTCAGTTTCTTTTATATATTTTTCCTCATTTTCCCTACTTTCTTTTGTTTGCATTGACACTTTCAAAAGTGCATAGACTCTGTACAAAATGCACGCAATACCTATGCCAATACGCAATCAATACTGATGCAAGTGAACATGTGATGCATGATAATTATGAAATCAAAAGTAAAAGATAAAAGTAGACAGGTTTTTATACAAGGATGTACTGTAAAACCCCTTGTATGTAATTAAATCTTCTAGTTCATAAATGTGAAAGAAGAAATTATAAAAATACCATTAACAAAAAAAATCCTAGAAAAACTAAATTGTGAAACTATTTATTCTATGTCATTTAATTATCAACAAATTACAACTTGTTCAATTTGATGCAGTTTTCTCTTCTTGCCTTTTTCTTCCCTTCTTCATTCAATAAATCATTGAAAATTTGTGAATAGGAATTTATTTTTGATAATTGCAGTTTGGTACCCTTTGTACGCATCTATAACCTTTCTTTGATGGTATATATTATATACACTGTTCAAATGGAGCCTTAAAAATAAACTGACTGATAATTGGTTTATAATGCTTAGATCGGCCAAGCAAGGGACTTTAATAAATGACTGCATGTATAACTATGTATGCAATGATGCATTCAAATTACGATGAATAAGCATGTAATTGGAAGATGGTTGACAATAATCAAAGTAAAACTGTGTGAAAGTGAATGTTTATTTTATTGTTGAACACTCACACAATATATAAATTTTAGAAAGCATTGCCATTGCCTATAGAGTACTGTTTACATGGCTTGGTCAGGGTACCACATAGCACTGATCCTACTGAGCAAATACCTATCGAGTGGTCATTACAGCTAAAGTACCTACGCAATTCACAGTTTAACATAGCTTTTTCAAAGTTTATCAAAACCTTCTGATTAAAAACTTCTCACAAAACTCAGCATATTAGTTACCTTATATTCAATTGTCAATGTAGGTTATCAAGGCAACACAAAGATACAATGTTGCATTAGTAGAAAAAGTTATGTAAACTGTAGCTTTGCTGTGGACGACCATTCTTGTTTACATATTTAAGTAAGGCTATCTGGTACAGTACCTAGACTAGATCCAGTCTAAAGTTTGTCTTAATACAGTCAGTGGCGTAACTTGGTTGTGAGGGCCCTAAGTGCCCTGGTTCAAGAGCACTATTGGGGCCCCGGACGCACAAATTGGCCAAAAAGAATAGAATATCTTCAATTACGAAATTCCAGTTCAACAATGAACCAAATTTGTGATTTTCAGTAGGCCTATCATGACATGCTATACATATCTATACAGTATTAATTCTGCTAATCGCCTCTGCATAACTTCACCTATCTCCTCTGAGGAGATGTTGTACTACTCACTTATCTATTCTAAAACTGTTGCTTCCCAGCACTCTCCCCCCCCCCCCCACAACCCATCCCCGTTTGAAAAATTCTGGATCTGCCATTTATCAAACTGGATAATAATTCCTCTCAACGACTATTTAGGAAAGACACTCATCTACAAAAACATTATCTACAAAGACGTCATTTAGAAAAACAATGACATGCTAACCATAACAACGATTTCCTCCTTGACTTCCCATAACATTCAACAATATACATCACTGGCCAACTTTTCCCACTCATCTAACACTGTGCGGAGCACAGGAATATGCTAGTACTTATTAAATTCTTCAAATAAACTTGATTAAAATTTTTATTATAAAAAGAACACAATACCTTACAGATGAGACAAAATGGTAGTAACACAAAACAGCAGGAATTAGGCATGGATAACAGAACAAAGCTGGGCAAATCATATGAAATGATGTAAACCTTTAAAGAACAAGATGCTATACTGTAGTATCAACAATCTACAGCACTGTACTTGAATTACTGGCTTCAGCTTGACAAAGTAGAGGTAGTTGCTGCAATACTATCACTACACATTGTAATCTATGGCCCCCAGGTATTACCTCTTTTCAATGCTCTACTTATATCACTACATGTTGCTATCTAGCACTTACAGACCCTAGATATCCAATCCTTTTATAGAAAATATATATTCTAAAAATGTCATAATCATGCCAACACACAGGTCACAGTAATTACCACTAGAGCTGATCAGGAATCTCTACTTTCTTGAACCATACAAAAAGGAAATGATAAACAATTCTAGAGTTAAAAACAACATTTGAAGTTCAACTTTCTAATTCTATGAAGTATTCTAGTACAACCGACTGTATAAAGAGAATAAATAAATACTGTATGATCATGACATATGTCTTTGTAAACTACTAAGTACTAATTCCATATTTGTAATTCTAAAATTGGTATAAATAGTAGTACCATTAAAGATAAAGGTTTTTGATTGTTAAATATGCAAATTTGCATATTTAACAATCAAAAACCTTTATCTTTGATGGACTTTTCCACTAAGGCCCGTCCCTTGGATATTGTTACGAAGGTCCCACAAAACAACAGTGACAGAACATACGTAAACATGTGCATTTGTGTCCCACAAATGCACATGTTTACGTATGTTCTGACACATTTGTGCTTGTTCGACACTCCCTGGCCCTGTTCTGATAGGTCAGGTTCATGATATATAAGATTATGCAGCAAAAGCCTCACAAGAAACATGCTAACTTTAAAAACAGTTTCCTCCCCATTTGGTAACTTAAAGGGCAAGATGTACATATTTAATTTTTGCATGTATTATTAAAACTTTTGGTGGTACAATTGTAATAAAAATGTCTGTTGAATTCTTTTGGCTTTTCTGCTGCTGGAAAGACCCCCTTGGTAAATAATTAACTAACTTAATTTAGTCAACAAATCACTTGGGTATAATTTCTTGTTTTAAATGGCTTTCAATCTCATACAATGTTGCTGTTGTATATTACCTATCAAAATCCTGTATTTTTAAATTTTAATGTACAGTATAACCTCATCCAAAATGGATGGGATATACATGTACATTCATGCTTACAGAAAGTTAGACTAAGTACAGTATATTCATTTTTTTTTGTGTTGGCAACTACCAACCACGTTTATACATCTTACAAACCATGCCCAACAGTTACACAATCAAAAGGAGAGGACTTCACAAATTATTTTGCTGACATACAATATTGCTGAATGGTTTCAGAGGGCATGTTTCTACTGAATATTGAGAAAGAAACTGTTCTCTTATCATTGGTTGATTATCGGATTAGCAAGATAAGAACTGCGTTGCAACTGCATTTTTCATTACATATGAAACGGTTACCGGACTGATACGCTACATTTACATGACGTAAAAATTACCCATATTGGAATTTAAAAAGAACTTTAT